CCTCGGGTGTCCGGAGATTTGATGGCGGCTGGAGCGTGCCCTGGGGACCTGCAGACACACGCGTAACGCTCTGCGCCCTCCTTGTGTATTCATTTTGACGACAGCCCTATTTAGCGTGGAAGGCAGAGGGCAGCTGGAAGGCTGCCCTGTGACAGGATACTCGGCTGACAAATTCTGTTTCTGATGTGATCTGGAATTCTAACCGAAGTTCGACAGACGCAGGGTTTCAGCAGGGTGCGTTTGCTTGTTCGGCACTCGTGCCCCTCAGGCCGGCTGGCAAAGTGGGGTTTTCTGGTGGAATGTACGTTCTAGAAACAAAGTATTAGGTAATACTAAACCCTGGATGTTACCAGAGTATTGCAGACAAGGCCTCCTGAGTTTCTTGATAATTTATCCGATTCTTTGCTGTCTGTTGCACTTACTTTAGGATCCCAAAACTGATGATCTGTTTGCTCGCTTCAGGATCCCCAGGCTGGTGATTTGTTTGCTGGGAAACAGCAAAACAGCAGATCCCTTTTTCTTGTAACTTTTAAGTTGTGACTATTTTCACAAGTTTATTTACACTGACCTTATTTTTTTTATATAATTGGTCAAAACCCTGCATTATTATGCTGAGGTATTTTTATGTTGAAGTATTTCTTGTTCCATTTTCAGAGGAAACTTTAAAGTGGAGGTTCAGAAGACGAGATTCTGCTTGCTGCTGAAGTAAAAAATAGTTTTATAAGCAAGATCTTGAAGTGCAGTGTAATGTCACTGTATTTTTATTTCTAGAACAAGCTGAAATGTTAAAATGATTGTGAGTGGGTTTTTTATTTAATGTGAGGAAAACTGTAAGTAAATCACTTTTGCAGGCCAATGAATACTCAATATTTACACCTGTTGCTTTTAAGTTAACGGCAGTATTGTATCTTAATAGTAAATGTATGTGAATTAAGGAAAAATGTGTTTGCAAAGATCAGGGATTTAATTGATGTAAAAATGTGTTCTGATGTGATGAACAAAAGCTATTAGGATATCCCCAAAATAAAAATTGTTTTCTTGTCTTTGTCCAGACGCTCTAATCCAGAATAGCATTCCATTTTCTGTTGTGATCTGACACTTCCTTTTTCCTGTGCAGACTCTGTTTATTAAAATACTGAATGTTCATTTAAAATGATGAAAAAGTTACAGCTGGAATAATATCCAAGATTTTTTTCATGTATTTGGACGTTTTTTGCTTACAAAAAATATTTTAATCATGAGCTGTGGAAAAGATTTTGTGGAAACTCTTAAGAAAATTGGATATCCTAAAGCTGATGAGCTTAATGGAGAAGATTTTGACTGGCTGTTTGAGTCTTCAGAAGACAAGTTATTTATGGAGTGGTTTTGTGAAAATGTAAATGAGCAGCATGTGGTGTCTGAAAAAGAACTGCAAGATTTTGATAGTCTTCTTGAATCTGGTAAGCCCATATTGGAAGGAAATGCACTGGATGAAGTCCTTAAAACCTTGAAGCCCATGGATTCAAAGCACGGTAGTCAAGAGGAGGAAGAAGAAGAAGAGGAGGAGGAACTGAAGAAATTGGAGGATGAGCTTCAAACTCTTCAGAAGTTAAAAAAACTTCAAATTCATCGGCATAATAAGCTTCAAATGGTGGTTTCTGCGAACAGCCATATCTTACAAACATTAAAAAGCAAAGAGGTAGAAGCACATAAAGATTTGAAAGAAGGACTGGAAGAGTTTACTGTGGCAAATAATAAGCTTAATAATGAACTGCTATCTCTTATAGATGCAGCTAAGAAACTGGCCTCTCTCTTCACTGCTTCAGATTCAGAACAAGGTTCAGGTCCACATCCAGTGTTTTTTTCCCAGCTTTCTTTGGACGAGTATTTGTCTCGAGAAGAGCAAAGCACTGCAGCATTTACATCATACTTAAAAAAAGATTTTTATCAAGGTATGTCTGAATGGGTTGAAAATTCACATGAAGACAGCTTTCAGCTGCTGGATATAAGCAAACAAGTCCCTTGTGATGAGACTAATCAAGTTTGTGAAGTGAGTCAAGAGATGGCCAGGCTCCAGACCGCGTATATTTGCGCTCAACATCAGCTGATTCAGATGCAAGCTAAAGAGGAGAGCATGAATTCAGCTATAAAATGCGCAGAGAGCATGCTGCAGTCCTTTAACAGCAAGGTAAGCTGCAAAATGCGGTAGAAGGTGGTGGAGTTTTAAACAGGCAAACAGGCAGGTGTGTTTAACTGGATCTAGTAAAAGGGATCCCCGAGTTATTGTTCTTTCAACTATTTTTAGATAGTAAAATTGCGCTTTTTATGAAGTTTCAGCTTTGCTCACAGAACTCCTCTTGTGAAATGGCTCCAGTTTCTATAGTTAGAAATTCATCAGTATGGAAGAGTACCTTTAATTCTACTTTCCCAAATTACTACCTTAAATAATCTAGAATTTAGTAGTACCTTGCCAGTTTAGTTCAACTTTGAAATTTCAAATTATAACTGGCTCTCAGTTTGTACAACAAACAAAAGTTTAACTGTGGTTGAAATTTTGTGCCGTTGAGGAGCTAATATAAGTGTATTTCTGTTGACGTTCCGTAGCGTAAACTTGGAAAATTTTAATTCACTGACTCTTTTGAAACTCAAGTATTTGTAATATGGTGACATTGTGTTGACATGTTTTAAATACCAAATAAATGGATCGGATAGCTGAAGCCCCAGAAGTCTCTCAACAAGTGAATGACAGGCAAATTTGACTACTGGAGTTTAATAATGTGAAGAAATCGTAACAGAATGAAAAATATTAGTTTATGCCAGTCACGGACTAACTTGAGGCATCATGACAGTTTGTATATTTTCATTTGTGGATGACTAACAGAGGGCTTGATTGTTTAGTCATTTGAAAAGGATTGGTTCTGCTAGCAGTGTTGATAGTCATCTGACTGAATACAAAAAATTATGTTTGCATATGAGATTTCAGTTAGATGTGCTTGAAATCTAGGGGCGAGGTAAAATACAGCTCTTCTGTTTTTTCCACAATAAACTGTTTCCTGGCCCTGCAATAGAATGAAATTACTATTTATTGAAATACATTGATTTGATATCTGCTTTTTGAATCTGTATTTTGCCTTTTGTGGTAAAGGTCTGTAAAACTGCTTGTGGAGCTTTCATTTAATTTTGTAGATATGAAAGATGCAGTGATTTTAATGTAATGTGAGTACAGGAATCTTGTGTGAACTGAAGAAATGTGTTAGGGAAGTGGCTTGGAGGGAACCATGAAGAAATTGATGAATATTTTGCTTTATGCAGGATACTGGAAAACAAGAAAACCTTGATGCCAAAATATCTAGTTTAAATGATGAAATTTCAACAATTAAACAAGATATAACTCAGATAAACAATGAAGAGCTGCTTCCTCTTCTGAAAGAGAATGCACGATGTTTCAGTGCGCCAGTGGTGAAAGGGTACTTGGATCGTCAGATTGCTCAGCAGGACTATTATGCTTCAAGACAAGATGAAATATGCAGGCATTTGATAAGACAGAAAGTATCATTTGAACTTATTGAGCTAGCCTATGAAATGGAGTTGAAGAGACATAAGGAGATCTGCTGTCAACTTGAGAATTTAGTAGAATCTTTGAAAAAGAGCATTAATGAGTTGCAACAGAGACTACAGGTGATAACTGAGCAAACTCAACATGCAAAGCCCAGAAACACCATTAGTTCAAATGATGGTTTCTCTTGCAGGTAAGCGTTACAGTCACTATTGAACTTTGATTTTTGAAATAATATTGGGGAGATAAAGGCTTAGGCAAGCTAAGCCTTTTCTGTTGCTAAGTTCTTAGTTACTACTGTAGCTAATTAGTATTTTGAATTATCTAGAACTGAAGCCTGCAAGATATGAGACTTGCCTCTTGCTTATCCTTTGAAATTCTTTTCAGGTTTGCCTGAGGAAAAACTGTTCGATTATCAGTCATGTTAATATTGCTGAAGCATTCCTAAACAATATCCAGAACATAAAGACCCTTTAAAGCCAGACCTGGCTTATTATGGTGCCCTGATCTAGAACCTCTTGAAAGCTGTTCTGGAAGCAGAGAGCTTTTAATAACAATGACTTCCCAGATCATATGCGTGGCCTCATCAGCTTAGCCTGCAAAAGCCACCATGTGGTAGAGGAGAGGAATGACTGCTTGAATAGATGAAATGTGTGTAGCTTATTTTCACTGCGTGGCTTGCCACTGGCGTCAGTGTCCTGTCATCCATGTAGGAGTCTGGCTTTTCACCATCTAAGGAATTAAGTCTCCTTGTAGCTCAGGTGATACAGTAGGAATTTGTGCTGTGTTGCTGTCCCTTCAAGACTTTAAACCTTTTGATGAGGTGTATTGTATAATTGTAGGTGTGTTAATGTCGGGCTTTTCCTCCTTCTTTAAAATGGTGCTTGAAGTGTTTTTTAAATAATTGGTAAGTGATAGTTGGATATGGTCTTGCACAGCGAAAAACTGCCAGAATTAGGCAGCATTAACTTTGTTCCCATTATGTGTTTACATTGGCAACTTGTAACATTTTTGTGTAAGTTTATTATTAAGTCTCCAAATCACTGAATCAGGATGTTGTCTGGCTACTTTTCACTTTTTTGGAAAAGGCATGTATTCATGATCGTGAAGGGAGGTTAAAAAAAATTAAAAACCCTAAAGGGTCTGTAAGCAGAAGACACTTGAAAGAAAATCAGTTACTCTTGAAATATAGCTCCTGCTTGTATTAAAGCCAATCTGATTCTATATTGGGGCTGAATTCCTGAAGATTTTACTATGGAGAGGTGGCAGTAGCAATCGAGCAAAGTTACCTCTAATCGTATTAGACTCTTCCTGATGCAGTGTAAAGGTACAGTTTGGTACAGCGGGTATTGTGGTCTTTTGCATGATGCCGAACTAATTGGAGAATTTCTTAGCAGTCTCTTCACAGACAGAAATACTCTGGTAAGCTTGAAAATGTTACAAAGATTTCTCTTATTTCTCATTGGCCACTGAAGTTTGCTGTTTTTCAGCACTTAAAGGTTGGATCTTACTTTGCTGTCCTTGAAATGTCAGGAAATAGTTGGCAAAAGCACATTGTCAGCTTCTATTTGCATTCATTGTGTACTTATGAACTGTTACTTTGGTATTTCATTGCTGTTAATTTAATATTGAAATGTTTTGGAGTCCTAGTAATCACATGCTAGCTATATATAGATGGAATCATTAAATCTGTGGGAGATATAGCAGTGTAGTAAGAGTACCCTGAGCAGTACTGTCCTTTGCTAGTCCTCTGACTTCTCAACATGAACATCTTCTCTTGACTAATATTGACAGGAGTGCTTATGAAACTTAAAAATGCTTGTGTGTCTAACTTCATTTGTTACAGGCTGTATGAGCTTCTGGAAGGAGAAAATAAAAACCAGCAATTGTTTAAAACATATGAAAGCCTGGAGCAGATGGCTCAGAAGTTAAAGGAGGACTGTGCTACAGTACAAGATCAGCTAGCAGCGTCTTCTCAAGAACAGTCTCTCCTTTTGTCCAAGCTAAAAAGTGATGTAGATACCCTTCATGATGCTCTGTATCGTGGAGGAAATCAGATACAACTCAGTAGTCGGGTAAGCCCTTGTCTTGTTCTTAAAGTGATTACATTCATGTGCATCATGTTCTTTTACTAAGGAGAGTGTAGTATGAAGGCTGTAGATACGCAAACTGGCTCCCATTTGTCAGCAACAATTTTGTTAGCATAATGACTGCGGCCTCGGTGTTTACATTGTTCTTAGCAAATGTTAAATTTTGTAAATGTGGGCAGGTAATAATTTTTTGCTTTGAAGCAAATTGTTGCATCTAACTTTTAATTTCTTTCAAAGTCATATACAGTCATGTATTACTAGTATGTTTATGGTATGGGAAATATGTTGTCTGGATATGGTGTCACTGGGGAAAAAAATTCTCTATTTCAGATGGGCTTGTTTCCCCCATTACCTGTAACACCTAGATAGTATGGTTTAGCCCCTTAAAAAGCCTGGCCATGGGTGGCTCATTTGGACAAAATAAGAATATCAGAATCTTGATGGACAGTTGTAGTAGGACAATCCTGCTACAGAGCTGCCGGGTATTTGGTTTAGAGCCTCTTCTAACAACTCCTATTCCCATTTAAGTGCAGCTTGTTACAGTTTTGAAATAATTGTAGATATCTCATAAATGAATTGAGGGAGGTCTTCTGTTACATAATACTTCCTTGGTTAAACACATGAAAATATATTTAACACTTCCATCTGTCCAGTGAATTTGCATCATATAGAACAGTTTTTATTAAAAAATTAAACTTGTAATTGGAACAATATGTATTTAGAGATTGCATGTTATTAAATCAGATACCCTTCTGTTGATTCAAGTTAATTCTTAAAACATAGTGACATCTCTTTCTGTTGCTGGTGTTTCTCAAGAAAAGTAATTCCTGTAATAAGGAAACAACATGGAAGTAGGTGACTAGCCTGCTTATGCTGGACTATCGTAAGAATGGCAGTTGGGAAAATTGTAGCTGGTAATTAATGATTTAATTTTAAAACTGAATTGGCTTATTTGTTGTTTTTCTTTTGGTTCCCTTTTAAGATATCATAGAATCATTAAGGTTGGAAAAGACTGCTAAGATTATCCAGTCCAACCGTCAACCCATCACCACCATGCCTGCTAAACCATGTCCTGAAAAGGCTGTCTATGGAGATTTGTAATTGGTAGATGGTTGAATGACATTTTCAGTCTAGTTGAGGGCCAGATTCTTATGGTCTTAACTCATCAGTTTTAGTAAACAAGTAAATGAAATTACGATTTCATAACCTGATGGCAGTACTGTTACGTGGAGTTCAAAAGTTACATAAGTTGAATGGAATCCCTTATCACCTATTTTTCTGTTTTTTTGTGATGACTTTTCACTGACAAACAAATGTGGCTTCCAGAAGCAAAAAACTTCTATATTTCTAGTTCAGCTACTGTATTAACAATATAAAATTAATAAATTTGTCTTGTATTTTTTTGTTAGGAACTTACTGAGCAGTTCCATCAACTGGAAGTTGATTTGAATAAACTAAATCAACTCCTTATGGATCTGGTTGCTGATGTGAAGTCAAAGAGAAACGTTTTAGAGTCAAATAAGTTGCTTCAGATGGAAAGAAACTTGTATGTATATTTTTTCAAAGATGAAGACCACTTGAAAGAGATCGTGGAGAAGCTTGAACAGCAGGCTGAGGCTAAAGCCAGTGGTCTGGAAGATCAGAATTTCGTCACCAGTGATGTTCTTAATGTTTAAACTTCAGTGTAATCATAAGAAAGGAAAGCATGTGTAAACTGTCTACAAGTTTATGGAATAAGTATTAGCTTGTCAAGGCTAACATTTGTCTGTCATTGCAATGTATGTTTAGCTGCCACGATTACCACGTTGGGATTGTGTGCTGCTTTATGGCCTCTGGCATCTGCCCACCAAGTTCAAATCTCAGATTTGTCAAAGTTCTTTGATATGAAGTAATACGTTTGTTATTTGAACGGACATTCAGGCTGCTCTTCTGCTAGCCTGTATGTTGATTTCCACTGCACACAGCATAGCACAAAAAGGAATGTTTCATACCTTTGAGATAATTTTTCTTGCATGCTAGGAACCTTTTATAAGCGAACTGAAACATAAATTCAGAGAAGGCATTCCAGATTTTGGAACATGAATGTAATGTGCTCCTTCTGAAGAGGGTGGTTCTTCAAGCAAATATTCCGTGATCATTTCCCTTAGACTTCTTCCAAGAAGATTTGGGTTTATTAGAAATGTGTTGGAATGTGTACCAGAATCTTTTTCAAGTACCAAGAGTATCTGTTTTAAGACCATTCCGATATATCTTAATTTAACTTATGGCCTGTCTTCTCCATTGAAACCAGTCCATAGGCATACTGGGCTCTTCAGAGAAAACGAATATGAAATTTACCTTTTGGACTTCTGAGTTTACCCTATAATTTGTAATGATAGGCATTTCAATTCAGAATCCTGTTGCTTTCATATTCTTGGTTTCATGTCCATTGTTAGACTGTTTATCAGATTTTATATAGCTTTGTAATATACCCATGGAACTAAATAGGCTTTTATAGTATGATAACTTTGTCTTTTATATTTTGGTGGGATCAGCAGTGCTTGCTTTCAAGCATTGTACATATTGATGAAGGTTAGTGAATTAACTTTAACTACAGTAACGTTAAAACTATTTTGATTGCAGACTTTTTTATGCGAGTATAACTTATTTTTAAACGTTTGAATTGTTTTTAACTTACTGATTGGATGCCTTTATATCTGGATTTCATGTTGCTTAACTCTATACATTGTGTTTGTTATTAAATACCAAACACTATAAATTCAGTTCAATGTTGTCAATATTTATGGCCAATCCATGTGTTGGTTTTAGGTGTATTCTTATGCATAGCGTCTTGTTTATATTTAGTCTGCTAGGTTCTCATTTTGATGTGTCCCTGAGGATTTAAAACTGCTGCTTCCCACCCTGAGAAGTCAGGGAGTGTTTTTACCCTGTGTAGGAAAAAAGCGTTGCTCTTAATTATAAAAGTTAGCAGGAGCTGTGCATGGGGAAAGATTATACTTCTGACTCTTGGAATGTCAGGGAAAAGAAAGCCATTCTGTTTCTCTCCCTTTCGCGTGCCTACTATAAAATTTGAGCTAGGTAGGTGTAGGCAATACTAATGCAGCCTGACAGATGTTCCTCTTTCAATCTGGATACAAACATTTGTATTTGTAAGAATTCAAACTTGTAGTGTGCCTGTGGTCTTGACCTAAGAGAAATACTTCCATGTAAGCAGAGGAAATATTGTTTACTTGATGGTTAATCTTGACTTGAACATCTACTCATGCATTGGATTTAGTGGGAGAAGACGAGAGTAACAGGACTCCAGTTACTAACTTGTCTAGGAATAATTTACCAGCAGTTTTTGGTAACCAATGGACTTGTACAACTTGAATCCTTCTAAGTATTTTGAAAATATTGGCTACTTACTTTTGTTTTTGTGGTAAGTTTTATGCATCCTTCTGGTCTGACTGTATAAAGTCAACAAAGTCATCAGTATGGACAGTGTGGTTTCTAATTCTCCCATATGTGTTATATCTAGGGGCTCTCCGGGTATTTTGTGTGTACTGTAGAATATGACTACAGGTCAACTAGAAAGGCAACTGCTTTTTAAAAAAGGAAAGTTTAGAACAGCAGTCGCTGCAGTCAAAGCTTGTAAAGACTGTAGAGGTTGCTGACCCATTTCTCAAATTGACAAACTATAGTAACTTATTTGATATTATTAGTATTTAACAGTACTTGAACACATCAATTATACGAAGTTTAAGGAATAGAGGTCTTTAATGATAAATATTTTCTGAAACAACACATTACTAGTATTTGTATATCAGGATAGTAATACTTGTTTGTTTCATCCTGTGTTTGCTCTATTTTGGCAGTTACTTGGAAAGTTTTTTTTCTTGATAAAACCTGAGCACCAATAAAAGTAAATGTATGCATATGCTAGGTATAGACTAGTTTAAAGACGTTGAGGAGGGAGGAGGTAATTTCAGACATAAATGGTAATTCTTATTTTATTTGTCAGATTTTTTTTTTATTAGAAGTTAGCTTAATAGGACTGCCTAATTTTTATAGTGGTGTATTAAAACACTTTTTCACAGATGTTTCACTCACTGTTTTTTGTGAATTATTACAGTTCGCTAATTTTTATTTACAATACTTAGAAACTCATAGGCATGTCAGAGAGGAAACATCACTTTCGAGGAGAATGAATGGCTGAATACGTTCACTATATTTTGTCTTTAATTTCAACAGTGTAAATGCAGATTTTTCTGTGGCCCTGATATCATGTGTAATTTGTGTGTGTTCTGTGTTTAGGTTTAATGTTAAAAATGGAACAGTACACATCGTACATAGGATGTGAGACTTCTGAGGTGTGTTTATCTGATATTGCTCAGAGGGTTATGACAGCTTTGCAGTCTGTTCCTGTAGGAGAAGTTCACACTAGCAGAAAGAATAGCCAGAGTGAGTAAATCTTAGCCTTTTTAAGTGTTTCTATTTTCAGTTGAAAAACTGAAGCCCAAACAAACAAAATGATATCAAACCTCTAGTCCCTATTTAAAAAGAAAAAAAGTCAGAGTTCAGGTTTCCCGGTTTAGAAGAGAAATTAAGCTGTAACTCTGACATTTGCTGGGACTTTTGTGATTAAATAATACTATGTGAGTGCAAGGAACCTAGGATATTACCAGTACCCTCAATTTCTTTTTTTTTTTTTTTTTCTTTCTGATCCTACTATGTATTATAGATGTTAGGTGAGAATTTCAAATTGTTCATTAACTAATATTGTGAATTAAATGTATAAGTTAACTTGACTCTGGACTAGATATTTAAAGATCACTAGAGGTACTGGGAACTTGCCAGAAGGCCTGTGAACTCTCCAGGCTCGTGTTTGTGCTTTAAACACATCTTCCTTAGCAACTTATTCCTGGTGAAATTCTAGGGGGAAAAGGGAACAAAAGTCCTGGTGGCAGAGCAAATTAGGTAATGTTAAAAGTGCCTCAGCAGATCTTTGACTGTTGAGCAAATCTTACTCGGAATTTGTGGGTACTAGGGAGGTTTTCCAAGATGGAATTCTTATTCTCAATTCTGTGCATTTCATAGTCTGCCAGTCTTGTAGCTCTGGAAGGAAGTAGATAGAAAGTGAAGAGTTTTGCTTAATTTCAGTTGTCTGTTTTCTCCTGAGAACTAGATCCTGGAACATTATCTGGTCAATGGGATTTGAATCTAGTATTTGTTCTTGTGTACATGGTGCTTGTTCCAGCCTCGGTTTTATGTAAATAATAGTTCAGGCTCTTCTTTCAGCAATAACGTGTTGGATCAGTGGAGCCTGATGGCGTAGCAGTGACAAGGGTAGTAGTTCATTGCTGTGTGAATCAGTGATACGCATTTGAAGAAATGTGGGATGGGTTTATTTTAAAATGGTACATTTGGACCAAACCCCAGGTTGTTTTAAAGAAAACCAGATTAATTTTTTGACTCAGTTTAATTGCCTTTCTACTTCTCCCGCTACGTTGTCATTTTCCCTTCCTTATTTTCCCATGCAATGTTTTTTGTCTTGGACTGGGGAACTCTGTGCTGTGCGGTATCTGTGTCATGTTCTGTTGTCCACTCTTGATCCATTCACTCTCTGTCAAGCTGTAAAATTACAGATTCTCTTTTTGTGAAAAACACTATGAAGGTGTCTGATATCTTTAGCCAAATGAGCTTGCTGTCTTCTTTGTAGTGCTGCTAAATCCTTATTCACTGGGGAGTGAAAGAACAGTATAAGCATTTGGTGGCGGCAGGTCACATCACTAGCTTTTCTTGCTTGTTTTCTGTGGAGTAATTACAATTGTTTCTAGTGTACGGGCTTAAGAACAAATTTATTTGAATTGCTTCTAGGAAATTGCCTATGTATATGTAGCTTTAGCTGATCAGGGTGGATCTGGAGGGAAGAAAAAGTTTGCCTCCCTTAGAAACAAAACCAAAACCTGTCATATTAGTTGGTCTGTTTCAAGCTGCATTGAGCTGTATTTTATTGATAGTCTTTAAATATTATATTCTACTTACTGGAAAACCTGTTTGTCTTTAGAAAGTAAATATTGGGTTCAAATGGGACAAAGATCTGTGATGTTGAACTAGTGGGTGAAATTCTGTTGTTATCTTGGTGGTACAGCTTGTAAAGGTTCCATCTAGCTGTGAGGAGTTTGAAGGCAAGGATGGATTTCTACTGCCATCTGGTGATAGTTTTTCATAAACCAGAAATTTGAGGTTACATAGCTTTTCAGGTACGTGTCATACTGAATACTGGGTGTTGAAGGAGAGAAATGTAATCCTCATCTTCTCTGGAGGGTTAATTTGTCAAGAAAACGTATCTAGCTCTGAAACAATTAAAGGCACCGAATTAAAACTCGGTTAGTATCATTCTTAAATTATAATTTTATTGTAGGAAGTGTTAAAAAAAACAAACATAAATGTTTGAAGCTACAAATACAGCTAAGCCATGTTTGTTCTAACAGCTCTGGTTAGAAGTCTGAGCTGGAGATAACTGATTATACACATACACCAACATGAACCTACATGTAATACTGTGAAGTAATAAGCTTAGGACTAATTAGCTAGTTAGTCCTTGAAAATGTTTTTTTCAGTATTTTAAGTACAGGGTCCTGGTTTACCTAGACATAATTTTTTTTTTTAAAACGTTTCAGGAAGTAGAAAT